TATTAGATGAACTGGAATAATTAATGAACTGATTATACTAGAGGAGAGTATTATTATAATAGCTGTAGTGTACTTTAATGGTAAGACTGGGACTGTATATTAGTAATAATAATAATATAATGTCATTTATACCTTATTAATGAATTTAATTACTGTTATTATTTATTATTAGTAATATCATTTTTATTCTTTTTCTTATTTTCTTTTCTTTAGATTGGAGCCCATTGGTGTTATTTATCAAGTAATTATTAATACATTATTGTTGTTGTTATTATTATTTATTGTTGTTATTGTTTGTTGTTGTTATTATTGATTATTGTTGTTATTATTATTTATTGTTATTATTGTTTATTGTTGTTGTTAGTCCCCCCAGTATTTGCAGTATGGTACTCCGTTAAGTGGAAGAGAATATTTATCAACAAGAGAAAACAAGTAAACAAAACTGTAAACAACAACAACACTTGTATCTGCCACTAAAAGTCTCAGTTTTACGATAAAAACAGATCAGCATAAACCAGGACAAAATGACTGAAACTTTACATGTACAACACATAATGTATCATTTATAATACTGTATAGTGCAAAATTTTGAGGACTGTAAATTTTGTGATTTTTTGAAGATTTGCAAAAATTGCTTCTGCGAAAAATCAAATTATTACAGTACAAGATGATTCAACATAGATTTTTAGGCAAATTTGCAAAATTTACAGCCCTTGAAAATTTTCCGCTATACACTATTAGCAGGTGGTGATTTCCCTTCATTATTGTAATTAGGTTGACTCCAGTATCAGACGCTAATCAATCAGTGATACAATTACATTTATTATTAGAAGAATCACTACCAGAACCAACTGACATCATCTATAACACGTGCAGGTATATTAATAGTCTATTAACCTTAATATATTAACCAGTTAACCCAACGGAGAAAATGCAGATAGGACCGTCTAACTATTATTAAAGTTAAATAGCCTATAATCTTAATTGAAAGTGGGTGTAGTCACAATGAATAAAATGGCGGCTATCAGCAAGTCTGAGCTTATTTGGAGCAAACGGTCAGCAAGATAAGACTAAACTGCTGTCCAAAGACTTCTCTAGTATCAAGGAAGGTTATACAGTACATTAATAGAGTGGCTTAGGGGCCGAGCCTCCTTCAATTGTTTTACATTCTTCTAGTTAACCTTAATATATTAACCAATTAACCCTCTCTCTCTCTCTCTCTCTCTCTCCCTCTCTCTCTCTCTCTC